ACTAGACTATAGACTAGACTATAGACTAGACTATAGACTAGACTATAGACTAGACTATAGACTAGACTATAGACTAGACTATAGACTAGACTATAGACTACTAGACTAGACTATAGACTAGACTATAGACTAGACTATAGACATGACTATAGACTAGACTATAGACTAGACTATAGACTAGACTATAGACTAGACTATAGACTAGACTATAGACTAGACTATAGACTAGACTATAGACTAGACTATAGACTAGACTATAGACTGGACTATAGACTAGACTATAGACTAGACTATAGACTAGACTATAGACTAGACTATAGACTAGACTATAGACTAGACTATAGACTAGACTATAGACTAGACTATAGACTAGACTATAGACTAGACTATGGACTAGACTATAGACTAGACTATAGACTAGACTATGGACTAGACTATAGACTAGACTATAGACTAGACTATGGACTAGACTATAGACTAGACTAGACTAGACTAGACTATAATAGACTAGACTATAGACTAGACTATAGACTAGACTATAGACTAGACTATAGACTAGACTAGACTATATGACTAGACTATAGACTAGACTATAGACTAGACTATAGACTAGACTATAGACTAGACTATAGACTAGACTATAGACTAGACTATAGACTAGACTATAGACTAGACTATAGACTAGACTATAGACTAGACTATAGACTAGACTATAGACTAGACTATAGACTAGACTATAGACTAGACTATAGACTAGACTATAGACTAGACTATAGACTAGACTATAGACTAGACTATAGACTAGACTATAGACTAGACTATAGACTAGACTATAGACTAGACTATAGACTAGACTATAGACTAGACTATAGACTAGACTATAGACTAGACTATGGACTAGACTATAGACTAGACTATAGACTAGACTATAGACTAGACTATAGACAAGACTATAGACTAGACTATAGACTAGACTATAGACTAGACTATAGACTAGACTATAGACTAGACTATAGACTAGACTATAGACTAGACTATAGACTAGACTATAGACTAGACTATAGACTAGACTATAGACTAGACTATAGACTAGACTATAGACTAGACTATAGACTAGACTATAGACTAGACTATAGACTAGACAATAGAGTGGACTATAGACTAGACTATAGACTAGACTATAGACTAGACTATAGACTAGACTATAGACTAGACTATAGACTAGACTATAGACTAGACTATAGACTAGACTATAGACTAGACTATAGACTAGACTATAGACTAGACTATAGACTAGACTATAGACTAGACTATAGACTAGACTATAGACTAGACTATAGACTAGACTATAGACTAGACTATAGACTAGACTATAGACTAGACTATAGACTAGACTATAGACTAGACTATAGACTAGACTATAGACTAGACTATAGACTAGACTATAGACTAGACTATAGACTAGACTATAGACTAGACTATAGACTAGACTATAGACGAGACTATAGACTAGACTATGTACTAGACTAGAGAATGGACCTATAGACTAGACTATAGACTAGACTATAGACTAGACTATAGACTAGACTATAGACTAGAAACTATAGACTAGAACTATAGACAGCTACTATAGACTAACTATAGACTAGGAACTATAGACTTAGACTATAGACTAGACTATAGACTAGACTATAGACTAGACTATAGACTAGACTATAGACTTGACTATAGACTAGACTATAGACTAGACTATAGACTAGACTATAGATTAGACTATAGACTAGACTATAGACTAGACTATAGACTAGACTATAGACTAGACTATAGACTAGACTATAGACTAGACTATAGACTAGACTATAGACTAGACTATAGACTAGACTATAGACTGGACTATAGACTAGACTATAGACTAGACTATAGACTAGACTATAGACTAGACTATAGACTAGACTATAGACTAGACTATAGACTAGACTATAGACTGGACTATAGACTAGACTATAGACTAGACTATAGACTAGACTATAGACTAGACTATAGACTAGACTATAGACTAGACTATAGACTAGACTATAGACTAGACTATAGACTAGACTATAGACTAGACTATGGACTAGACTATAGAATAGACTATAGACTAGACTATAGACTAGACTATAGACTAGACTATAGACTAGACTATAGACTAGACTATAGACTAGACTATAGACTAGACTATAGACTAGACTATAGACTAGACTATAGACTAGACTATAGACTAGACTATAGACTAGACTATAGACTAGACTATAGACTAGACTATAGACTAGACTATAGACTAGACTATAGACTAGACTATAGACTAGACTATAGACTAGACTATAGACTAGACTATAGATAGACTAGACTAGACTATAGACTAGACTATAGACTAGACTATAGACTAGACTATAGACTAGACTATAGACTAGACTATAGACTAGACTATAGACTAGACTATAGACTAGACTATAGACTAGACTATAGACTAGACTATAGACTAGACTATAGACTAGACTATAGACTAGACTATAGACTAGACTATAGACTAGACTATGGACTAGACTATAGACTAGACTATAGACTAGACTATAGACTAGACTATAGACAAGACTATAGACTAGACTATAGACTAGACTATAGACTAGACTATAGACTAGACTATAGACTAGACTATAGACTAGCTATAGGACTAGACTATAGACTAGACTATAGCCTAGACTATAGACTAGACTAGAGACTAGACTACTAGACTAGACTATAGACTAGTAGACATAGACATAGACACTATAGACTAGACTATAGACTAGACTATAGACTAGACTATAGACTAGACTATAGACTAGACTATAGACTAGACTATAGACTAGACTATAGACTAGACTATAGACTAGACTATAGACTAGACTATAGACTAGACTATAGACTAGACTATAGCCTAGACTATAGACTAGACTATAGACTAGACTAGACTAGACTATAGGACTAGACTATAGACTAGACTATAGACTAGACTATAGGACTAGACTATAGACTAGACTATAGACTAGACTATAGGACTAGCCTATAGACTAGACTATAGACTAGACTATAGACTAGGACTATAGACTAGACTATAGGACTACGGATAGACTGGACTATGACTAGACTATAGACTAGACTATAGACTAGACTATAGACTAGACTATAGACTAAGACTATAGACTAGACTATAGACTAGACTATAGACTAGACTATAGACTAGACTATAGACTAGACTATAGACTATAGACTAGACTATAGACTAGACTATAGACTAGACTATAGACTAGACTAGACTATAGACTAGACTATAGACTAGACTATAGACTAGACTATAGACTAGACTATAGACTAGACTAAGACTAGACTATAGACTAGACTATAGACTAGACTATAGACTAGACTATAGACTAGACTATAGACTAGACTATAGACTATTAGGAACTATAGACTAGACTATAGGACTAGGACTATAGACTAGGACTATAGACTAGACTCTAGACTAGACTATAGACTAGACTAGACAAGACTATAGACTAGACTATAGACAGACTATAGACTAGACTATAGACTAGACTATAGACTAGACTATAGACTAGACTATAGACTAGACTATAGACTAGACTATAGACTAGACTATAGCCTGACTAATAGACATACTATAGACTAGACTATAGACTAGACTATAGACTAGACTATAGACTAGACTATAGACTAGCTAAGACTAGACTATAGACTAGACTATAGACTAGACTATAGACTAGACTATAGACTAGGACTATAGACTAGACTATAGACTAGACTATAGACTAGACTCTAGACCTAGACTATAGACTAGACTATAGACTAGACTATAGACTAGACTATAGACTAGACCTATAGACTAGACTATAGACTAGACTATAGACTAGACTATAGACTATTAGAACTATAGACTAGGATTGACCGATACAGCTGGAAAAAATTTGTTTCTGGCCTACTATACAATAGTACTAAACTTGGTGCATATCCAAAGATACAAATTGGAAGACATCGATTTTAAAAGTTGGGTTACTTTACACACAATTTCCCAATGTAAACCAAAAACTCTTTGCAAATTTTATGAGGATCATTCCATAATTGAACTTAATTTAATATGGCTCATTCCATAATTGATCCCAAACCCTATTACTAAAAATCAGTTTATTTTCAATAAATTTGTCAACAATTAAAATAAAGATGGACAAAACTTATTGGTTGGAAGAAATTAATCATTTAAATTATATAACAATCCAAATATTATAGACTCCATTTCGAAAATCACTTTAATATTTATAAATCAATAGTATCGATTCATGAAGACCTCGCATATATGTATGTACCCGACAAAAACCCGGTAATGACTTATTCAACAACATACTTTTCAATGACAACTACTTACCGTATGCATTACTTAGAGGTACTGTAATAAGGACTCTCTTTTACTCTTATATATAAGTACTTTAATTTTGGCTTTTTGTTTGCACATTTTATTTGATTGCGAGTTGAGAATTTTGTTTATAAAAAAATAAATAAATTAGTTTCAGAAAACCATTACATATTTGACACACAATAAATTTATTTATTTATTCATTATATTTGTAAGCGAGTGCGTACTTATCTCCAATGACGTCATCGAGTTAAAATAATGAATTAAAATGCTAATGAATAAGTAGTGAAAAGAGGTTTCATTTTTTATTTTTTAAAAAAATTTCAAATTTTCAAAAGAGATTTAACAGTTTTTACTTTAATTGCCAACTTTCAAGGAAATGTTCAACACACATTGCCAATACAATTTGTTACATAGTTTTTTAATCATCCCAATGGTATGCTATAGTTTTTTCTACTTATATACCATTGACCAAAATATTTAATCTGGTAGCACTATCAGCTGTTGGGTTTATTTATTTGGGAACAGATTTTTTTTTGTTTATTTTTAAGATTTTACTACAAACACGATTAGTTGTTACAAATTTTTTTAAAAATGCTGTATTTTACTTTGATTTGATAGTGGAATTAGTAATTAATAAATAAAATGTCATCGAAAAAAGCACAAAAATTAAAAATACAAGCAGTACAAAAAGAACAAGTGCAACTAGTACAAATTGAAAACATCTTAACAAATCTACTGAGCCAAGTGAACGAGAGCATCAATGAATTGAAGGTAGGAAAAATGGTTTTTTTACCCTAAACAACTGTAGTGGAGATAATATTTGTAACACCAAAAACAGTTCTAAACAGATAAAATCATTTTCCTTGTCGATTTAGTCCTTTTCATCTGTCTGTCCATAAAAATTTCGTCACAATTTTCAAAATTTAATGATATTTGGCACGGTCTATTGATAATGGTGGAAACCGCTCCATTATATTGCATTCCTCCATATGTGCATCCCTGAATAGAACTTAAATGATCATCATTCACTCATAAATTCCAGTATCAAAAGGAATTCGCGATAAATAACTTCTACATAAACATTAATCCCTCCACTAATTATGAGGATGGACTTTACATACTTTTGAATTATAACTTCGGATTATTTTTACCTAAATCGACTGAAAATCGCTTTCAGAACCATACCGCTTGTCTGTAATCAAAAGACAGATAGCTATTTTGAAGATAACTGAATGCTTTCGGTTCATATTGGTTAATTTTTCAATACACTAAAATTGTTTATCTTCCAATTTGAATTTTACTGATTTATTTCTAGGTGGAAGAACTCCAAATTAAGTCCAGCCTTATTGAACAGTATACCTCAAACGATTACGATGAACTACCCACAACATCAGCACAAGCAGCCTCACGACATAATTCCATTCTACCAACTACTGATCCCTTAAGCATAGAACAAACAAATATTAAAATGGATATGGAGGGTATAGACGATATAAATAAACAAATACTGGCATTGGAGACACTACTTGTTCCTCTCAAGAAAGAGAAATATAAAGAGGAGGAGGAAGAGGAATACGATGACGATGAAGACGAGGAAGAGGATGATGAATATAGGCCATCAGATGAAGAGAAATAAAAAACTTAAGACTGAAGACATTTAATTTTTTATACATTTTATTTTAAGTTCTTAAACATAATTTTTAATAATTTATTATCATAATTACAATAATTTTGTTATTATAGTCTGCCAGGAATAAAAGTAATTTATATAATTATAAGTATATAAGTTAATTAAATAATTTATTACAAGCTTTTTTTGTTGATAATGAAAAGTACAATATAATAACACTTTTCTTATTTTAACCATATTCAATAGAATTATAAACATGTACAAAATGGAATGTAAATTATAGTTTTTTTCGTTTAGTTTTGAATGAGAAAATATGCGTTTTTAGTTGTTATTAATAATTTATGTAAAATAAATAATATAAATAGTTATGTATATAATTCAGGAGAAAATATAGACTAGAGATTTAGGTTTTTTTTTTTTAACTTCATTATACTGGTATAGAATTACTAATTTTGAATATATATTTATATAAATAAAGATTAAACTTAAGAACTAAATTATTTTTTGATTTTTACAATAGAGATTGTTCAAGCATAATATTTTCAAAACCGGCTGGCGGTGCATAATGAAAATTATTCAAAATAATATCTAATATTGCTCCATTACCAACTGAAATGAAAATCGAAAATAAATTAGTAAAGAAAATAAGTAAAACAAATTTTTTAATATTAGATAATTTCTCTAATTATTAAAATTTTAAGATCAATAAATATTAATTATAAACATATACTTAAGACGACTTAATAATTTTATAATTCTACATACTCACCAAAAATAACCGGATACACCGTACTAGCTTTAACATTACGGAATGGTACTTCTAGATTTTTACCATTAAAATAGAAATTTAATTCAATATGATCAAATGAAACGCCAACAATATCACCCTCATCGGGAAAGCTATGCGTTTGTTCTTCCAAACTACCCTCAGAATCAGTCTTAGTTAAACCATTTTCCTTTACTTCACTCTCACTTTTACCCGTTGTCAATAGCAAATCCTCATTTATATCTTCTATACCTATTAAACCAGGAACCGCTGAACCATTTAGTATCATGCCACCAGCACCACCATTTTGTAATTTTGGCTCATTCGTACAGGCCACCACGGGACCATACTCTTCGCCATTGTGACGGGTTACATTGTCGGAACATAAACACCACGATTCCTTATCAAGGCCACCAAATTTCTTGTTTAAATCAGCCTGACGTGTTGCCAAACCAATAGACCACAGTCCCTTTTGTTGAATTTTAACTTCAAAATATGATTTTGATTGTACTAAAGGTGCAGTGGCCACACAGCCGCCAGTACCAGTTATGCGTAAATAATTTGAGAGTAAAATTACTTCTGTTCCTGTTAATAGATAAAATATATTTTAGTACACATATTATTTTTGGTACAAGGACGAACTCTACTCAGATTTGAAACTCATAACTTTATGATTAAAGAATACTGGTGATTTTCTTTATGATCATTCTTTATTTAACACTTGCACGTATTATACAATGTAATCTGTAGAAAAAAATTAACGTCCAAAATTCACTTAGAATCATTAAAATTTTTTTACTTTTTTAGGGACATCTGGACATCCCTTTAAAAAAAAATCAGTCTAACAGTTTAGAAATCAAACGTACATCACTTTTTCTATTTCCCATAGAACACCATATGTAGCTATTTTTTCCAAAGATTATTGATTCTGTCCCTTTATGTACATATGAATAAATAAAAAAGGATCAAAGTAACTATCATGATCACAAAAGTTATCTTCAAATAAATATTAATTCCAAAGTATAACATTAATTCCAAATTGCTTGAAGTTTTCATGTTTCAAGAAGCATTTGATACCTTTACTGCATAATATTTTTATTCATATGGACTATTCTTGTCCGACATCTGTCAACTCAATATATTTTTACATTTTTGTAATTTTTATTGTTGATTTTTCACTTTGAAAGGAACTCTACTCACCAATATGTGCTGCATCCAAATGTATTTCGGGCTCCCGTACTTTACTAACAATTGCGTTTGTTTTGTGTATATTTCCATTTAGACAGTTTCTTAAACAGCAAAACATTTTTATTATTTATTGTATTTTTTATCTTACGCAGTTATTAAATTATAAGTTTGTTCTCTTCACAATCTTTGTTGTTCTTTTTTTTGCAAAATGCAGTCCAGCTTTTCTTTTTATTCAACCCTTAAAATTCTGACAATCAGCTGTTGTGTTTATAAGGTGTTTAGGGTTTGCAAACATTGCTTTAATAATCAGTTCTCAGTATATATTAGGGTTCTATAAATCGACTTTCGAATAATCGAACAATCGACTTTTTGTCGAAAAAAGTCGAAAAGTCGACTATTTTGTTCCAAAAAGTCGATAACTCGACTATCGTCTATAAAAAAGTCGAAAAGTCGACTTTGTAAATAAAAGTCGAAAGTCGAGGTCAAAAACTCTAAAATAGTCGGAAAAACTCGAAAAAAGTAAAAAAATAGTCGAAAATAGTCGAAAAAAAGTCGAAATAAATCGAAAATAGTCAAAAAGTCGTAAAAAATCAAAAAGTCGGAAAAAGTCGAAAAATGTCGAAAAGTCGAAAAAAGTTGAAAAGTCGAAAAGTCGAAAAAAGTAGAAAAAAGTAGAAAAAAGTAGAAAAAAGTAGAAAAAAGTAGAAAAAAGTAGAAAAAAGTCGAAAAAAGTCGAAAAGTCGAAAAGTCGAAAAAAGTCGAAAAAAGTCGGAAAAAGTCGAAAAAAGTCGAAAAGTCGACCATTTATAAAATACTAAAAGTCTAAAAGTCGACTTTTAAATAAATGAAAAAGGTCGAAAAGTCGAAAAATCGACTTTTCATAAAATGGAAGAAGTCGAAAGGTCGAAAAGTCGACTTTTAACTAAATGCAAAAAGTCGAAAAGTCGACTTTTCGTTTCAACTATAGAACCCTAGTATATATATATAGTATATAATTATTAGCAGTTATTTCTTCACTTTTTAATTGGAAAATTCCTTTTCTCAGTATTAATTTAATTCGATCATTTACTGGAAGACTGCAAAATTATGCGGCCTTCTAAAGCTTTTCATATAGAATGACTTTGGAAGGGCGCTTATTGAAATCGGAAATTAATGAAAATGCTTGTAATTGAAGAAATAATACCAGCAAAAAAAGTGAGGAAAGAGAAGTAGAATTTTCACCACAAATAACATACTTGAAGTACTTCCAATTTTGGTGAAAAACCTATGAATTTTACATTAGCGTGTCATTGGAGGGATATTGATCATTTTTGACAACTTTGAACTACATCTAATCTTATTCATAGATGCAGTAAAAATCCGATATTTGGATGTCAAAAATAAACCACATTCTTTCAATGACACGCTTATGTAAATTTCATTGGTTTTTCACCAAAATTTGATGTACTTCGAATATGTTATTTGTAGTGACTTTTCAACATCTCTTTCCTCACTTTTAACTCGGTTTTTATTTGTAAGGAAATATTTGGTTTATAGAAGCGAAAAATATGCAATCGCATTTTTAGATGTGATTAAGATGTCGTTTGTAAAGTATGACATCAATTATTTTTTGCTGGGATTATATATGTATATACATTAAAGCGGCCTCAATATAGAAATTGCCTATGTTACCAACGAAAATAAACATTTTGTTCATTCTAAGATATCAATTCTCAAAACTTTTGTGATGACGTCAATATTTGGTGAGATTTCATATTACTTACAAAGAAAGGTTTTTTGGGTTTTCAAATTTGTTTATATAATATATTGAAAATTATTTAAACACACATAAAAACAGTAGTATTTTAAAATATCTATTTATAATAGATTACATTTTTCAAATACAGTCAAACTCGCTTATAACGTTTGTTATAAGCAAAGTTCGTAATAAGCTGAAGAAAGCTTTTGTAGATCAAAAAATAAAGTGTCATTTTACATTGTAAATTTAATTCATAATATTTACAAAAAAAAAAAACACTACTAATTTGATTTGTTTATATACAGTGTCTCTCATAATTATTCGAATTTGGGTAAACTATAAAAAGAAACCAAATTTAATAATATATTTTGTGTGCAAAATAAATAAATTAATTTGTTATATTGTCTAGATAGTCCTTATGTTTGATATCACACTTTTTAAAACTTGAAAAATTTGTATTGACTTAAATTAATTGTGCTTTTTTAAAAAAAGTCCATGAAATTGCCTCACTAAAGTATACGAATTTTTCCTGTATTTCATATTTGATCATATTATACGCAACACAAATTTTAGAATCGAATGGTTTTTATGCGTAATATTGTTTTAAGGGGTTACTATCCACGGAAAGGATATATTTTTGGCCCATTTGGTCCACAATTTTGGGGAATTTGTACCCTTTTTTCATGTAATATCATTAAAATAGCGATTTTTGGCCATAATTGTAATTTTTTCTCCTTTTTTCCAGAGATAAAACAAAAATTTGATATTGGGACTTAAAAGACCCCTTGGGGTATCTAAAAATAATATCTTTTGTTACAAGAATCTGTATTTAAACGTTCCAAGATAAATTATTCGGATCATTCTTCTTTCGCTAATTCAATATATTGGAACTTAAGTCCATTTTTATAATACTAGGATCAACTATTTTCGGGGAAAGTTTTCTGGTATATATTCTTTTAGATATCAGCTTTTATACATTTTAAGTTTTCAATGTGTTGTGGAAGTGTACAACTCCAAAACATGCCTCGAAGAAACACCATTCAAAACAGTAAAATAATTATTTTTATATACCAATGGCCTCCATGCTGCATGGCACGATATCATTATGATCTAACTCAAAAATGTTGATATGTGTTTAAATATTATTTACTATGATCAAATTAAAATCAAAATTTTGGACTTACAGTGTTATTGTAACGGGCAACATAAGCGTGAAAGTTACGAGTAGTAAAAACTGAAATCTACTATATAGGATGACGTTTTGTTAAGGCATGTTTTGGGGTTGTATACCGCTATAATATATTGAAAATTTAAAATATATTAGTGCCAATATGTACATGAATATACACTAGACAACTTTGTCGGAAAATATCGTCCCTAGAGGTACGAAAAGGGACTTATGATCCAGATAATTCAATTAGAAACTGCAAAACGATAGCAAAAATACATCTTGGAACGTTTAAGTACAGATTCTTATAACAAAAAATATTATTTTTAGATTCCCTATGGGTTCTATTAAATTCCAGTATTAAATTTTGGTTTTATCTCTGGAAAAAGGGTGAAAACATTACAAATATAGCCAAAAATCGCCATTTTAATGATATTACATGAAAAGAGGGTACAAATCCCCCAAAATTGTGGACCAAATGGGTCAAAAATATATCCATGCGGTTGATAGTAACCCCTTAAACCCATATTAAGCATAAAACCATGCGATTCTAAAATGTGTGTATCGTATAATATGATCAAATATGAAATACAGGAAAAATTCGCATACTTTTGTGAAGTAGTTTCATGGACTTTTTTTAAAAAAAGCACAACTAATTTAAGTAAATGTAAAGTTTTCAAGTTTTAAGGGGCGTGATATCAAAACTAAGGACTATCTAGACAATATAACAAATTAATTTATTTATTTCCCACACAAAATATATTATTAAATTTGGTTTCTTTTCATAGTTTACCTAAAATCGAATACTTATGAGAGACACTGTACATATTTCTTAACAATTTAAGTTTTTTTTTTTTTTTTTCAAATAAATCTGAATATTTATTTTCCTATTATTTCAACACATAATTTGAAAATTTAATTAACTACACTACATACTATCATACATATATTATTAATCATTTGCTGACAAGCTTGTTGCTGTAAACAATAATGTTTTATAATGTTGTGTTGCTAAAAATTAAACATTATAATTTTAAGTTTTCTTTATATCAGATCTGTTGTAACTTCTATATGTATGAATATTTAAAAGACTCAAATAAACTTAACTTCAACACATAATTTTTTTAAGTTCGTTATAAAAAAAGAAAAATTGTATGAAATTGTACTTGAGGGACTGAAAAAGTAGTTCGTTATGTCTGAGGATTCGTTTTAACCGAATTTGTTATAAGAGATGTTTTTTTTGTATGAAAATAGTTACCAAAAAGTCGGGACTTGAAAAATAGTTTGTAATAAACTGTTGTATTCGTTGTAATAAAGTAATTGACAAAAGCTACATTTAACAGGAAATCACTTTTTTACCCTGCACCTTCGTGAGAAGGATATACATATGGGGAATTTCATGTCATGTGACCCAACTCAAAAAATCGATTTTGATGAAATTTGCATCAAGGTTAGTACTATTGGATATAGGCCAGACACAAATCGGAAGACATCGGTTTTAAAAGTTGGGTCAATTAACATGAAATTCCCCATATATGTATAACATTATCATTCCGTTTGTACATTATTATATATGTACATATACATATTTCGAGTTATAAATAGCAGAGTCGATTTAGATAAGTTTATCTGCCCGCATATATGATGAAATCAGTTTTCACCGCAGATATCTCTGAGATCCATATCTTCAATAATATTTTTTGTATATTCTTATGTGTATTCCAAAATCATACTTTTCGTAACACGTATTCCGTTTTTATTTAATAATTGTTGAATAAATTAAAAACAAAGCTGAAGATTTTGCCGGCTTACAGCCAATTTTAAGCTGCCGCCGAAATTTTAAGTGTCGATCGCCGTCAAAATTAAAGTTTGACGACGAAGATCTCTGCATACATTTTTGTTGTTGTGTATATTTGTGCCCAAAATAAAATAAAAAAATATTGAAAAATATCAAGAAAAATTTGTTAAAGTCGAAGTTTTGTAAATATACAATAGTGAGGTGCATTTAATTGCCAACAATTTATGACATTTTTATAGTGCTAAAAAGTTGTAAACAATAAAAACCGGCAAAATTTACTCCCGCAGGCGATTTCGTAGAATATTGATAATGACACTGGTGGGATTGGCGGCACGCAAACTTTCAATCAAAAAACGGTATAATATTATAGAGTTCTACAATTTCATCAGATTTATTTATTAGTTTTCTTTTCCAAAGCAATGCAAAGTTAGCAGCTGCTTTTCCTAATGGCGTACGTTGCCAAAAATGTTTGGAATTTGGCCATTGGTCGTACGAGTGCAAGGAGAAACGCAAATATGTACATCGCACTTCACGTACGAAGCAGCTTAACAAAAAGGTACAGGAAAAAGTGGCGGAACAGCAGAGTAATGGTACTAGTGTTGGTACCGAAACGGGTGTAGCAACTCAAAAAAAGAAACAAAAACGCCGGCATTCGTCCTCAGGCTCCTCCAGCGGTTCTTCTTCAAGTTCCGACAGCGAATCTGATTCATCTTCTGATGATTCAGGATCTTCAGATTCAGGTTCCTCATCTGATTCCAGTTCATCATCAGACAGTGAATCTGACAGTTCCAGCGATACCGATGGCTCCGAATCCTCTTCCTCCGGCAGTTCTTCAAGCAGCTCCGATGAGGAAGATGATACAGCACCACCAAAGAATAAAAAATCTAAACAAACATCCGACAGTTCTTCAGATTCTTCGGAAAATGAACAGGACATATAAAGGGTGCGGGAATAATACAACAGACAACATTAAAGCGTAGCAATATATATTAGTTTAAGCCAAGAGAGTTAGTTCGAAATATGAATGAATTCTAAAAGTAGCCACTTGCACTCAATACAAACTCTTCTTGGAAATATTAGAAGCTTTAGTAGTTTAGGTTAAATTTCAAGTCGTTTTTATAATATTATTTTCTTAAAAAAACAAATTGAAACAAAAAAAACTGATTGGAAAAAATAATTATCACCTTCTTTTTTTAATTCAAGTAAAAACCTAGAACTTAATTAGGGAATTTATAAAATGATAATATCAAAAATCAATTATCACCTAAAGTACCTTCAAATAATAGCAATGGTTTCATTTTTTATACTTACATCTATCAAATGAAATATTGATTATTTATCCAACCCATCAACTCAGGATTCCACTTTTAAATATGGTTTTATGAGATATAATATTTTTGTGTGTTTCCTTATAGTTTTTGTCTTGTCTTTTTTTCTGGCCAGAAGGTCTGCTTTTAAGTAAAATGTCTTTTATTGATTTTTTTCTTTGTAAATGAATTGATTTATTGTCAAAAGTTTATTTTAAAATATAATAGTAGAATTAAAATTAGAATATTTTAATGAATTTGTTTAATAACTAAAATGTACTATGTATCCATTTTAAACTTTGGTAATACGTTAATTTTAGTTTTATGAATAATAAATATAAAATGTATTTAATCAAAAAGTGTCATGTTTATTCCAAGTTTCAGGAGTCTATTTAAGGACTTTGTTTTATAATGTATTAGTTAAAATACAAACTATTTATGAAGACCTTGGCGTAGAAGAGTGCAATTTTTTAATTGTTCATGAACATTATAATAGGAATTATTATCCATGAGGACTTCGTTAAATTTGTTTCCAGACATCATGTTATTAGGATCGATGTTTTTCTCAGGACTTTGTCAATAAGTTTGCAATTTGATTTTCCGTTTGGTGTTTTCCTCTAAACGGTTTAGCAACCGAGTCAAACAAGTTCGAGTTTAATTCCCCACAATTAATTCAGATGAAGTATTGCAAAAGAGTCGATCTTGTACTTCATAGATAATAGTTGAATTTCGATTTTCTTGAATTAACACCAAAACTACTGTCGACACTTCAACGACTTGGTATGTATTTTGAATGCATTATCCAGTCCTTGTGATAGATGGAATCCTGCAGACAGTTTATATCAACGTTCCATAAAAGTGAAGATAGGAAACCCACTTGTGATGTGCCTCTATTTGTCATTCTTTCATCGTGGATTTTTCCGTGTTGATTTATCTATATATGTAATAAAAGCACTCATATTGCTAGGATATCACACGTATGTCCGGAGAAAACCCACCAAACGACCTACATATAAGAAGTTGGAGCGCCGTTAAATCAACAGTATTATATGGTCTCCACCAGAATTAAGTTTAAGAGTTTTAATGGTCTCCATCAGTATAAATTAAGTTTAAATGGTCTTCACCAGGATTTATCCACCAATTACACACATAACCTCACTCTGAGATAAAGCGAAAGCACGTTTAATGCTAACAACGCATAACTTGGAAACAGTTATACATTAATCCATTAAATTAGTGAGCGTGAGACGCAATTCTGTCGAAAGCATGGCAACAAACACAAGCCAGAATTTTTTCAAAAATCAAAAATATAACAAATTCACACTTTTTCTACTCATTCCACTGTTAATCGATTGCTAAAAGGCAAACATTTATGTAATAATGCATACTTTTAGGCGCAGTGTAAAAAAACATAAATATACGTAACGTAGCTTTCTTTAAAAATTTTAAGTTGCTGTTTATTAGACTTAGTTTAATTTAAAAGGGTTCATTGTGACTCCCTGAATGCCTGAATGACTATTAACATTAATCATTACATCCGACCCCTAATAATGTGTGTTTGGCGCAATTTACATGAAGACTTTTCATACGTCTGTTTTTTCCAATTCTCTTTTGAGAATCTTCCAAAAAATCATGAACTTTTATACGGTGATTTTTTACATGCAACTATGCATGTCTTTTTTTGATGTTTAATTGTATAATCCTTTTTAATTACTTATTCGTAATAAAAATAAAATGAAATTTTTAACATAAAAACCATTTAATTTGATTTAAAAAAATTTAATAACACGCTATAGTATTTTTTTAATGCAAATTTTAATGTTTTCATGTAAAAAAAAGACATAATTATTTTTTTACACGAGCATAATATCAACAGTACGAATGAGTTTAAAGAGGAATGTCAAAAACAATCATGAAAATCCCAAATCATGTTTGTTTTCTTACCCCCCATTCTTCTCTACCCCGCTCACCACCAATCATCGACAAACATGAAAACAGACGTCTGGGCAAACATGAAAAAAATCATCGTGTAAATTGGGTGTTTTAATAATAACCACGACTTTCCAAGATTTCTGCCTGTAAGACGTTATATTTGTCCTAAAGTATATAGGACATTTTTATGTTGTCATGAACCAGATAAACACCGGCCTCTGTGCCAGGTTCCATCTTGGATACGTCAGTAAAGGATGCAAATCCCTCAGATAGTGCTTCGGAACCCTACTAGGAATCACCATTTAAGGTGTTACTCCGAAGTCCAAGGTCGTAACCAAATGATTAGAAATACTTCCCTCAATTCCTGTTAGACCTACTTCGTACAGTATTCTTGCGTGGCCTTCACGCCTTGGTCTTAATAGAGCTGATTCAAACAGTCTAAATAAGTTTCTAGCCGGTAAAATCTCACCATATTTCTTAATGGGGAGCAGATTTTAAATAATACTCAATGCTGCCTGTGGTGCAGATACCCCTAGCACTATTTAAGTCGATTGAAGAACACCATTTAACTATGTTGAGTATTAGTCTATAGCTTAGCTTTTCCTCATCCCCACCCACCGCACGATGGAACAATATGTAATAATTTGCCGAATAAAGTACGAATTTATTCGGTTAATTTTTTCGTACAGGCCTATCATTAAACAGTTCTCAATTCGCGATTAGGCTCAATATCACTGGCGCATGACATGTGTTTCACGGCGATCATACGATCATTCTAAATAGCATGCAGTAACTATCAGACAATATTGATTATTTCATCCCCAAAACTTTCTTTGGTAGAGATTTCTCTGTGTCATTCCAATTCAATCGAAATTAAGTTGAAACGATCCTCTATAACGTGGCATGGGTGAGGGATTCTATGTTGTGAAGTGTTATGGATTTGGGGTCATCAGCAGATACCTTGTAATACCATTTCGGACCCTCTTTTAAAAAGTGATACTTTACTAGCAAGGGGAGAGATTGAGAATTATGTTAGCACAATGTTGTCCATATGCAAAATCTCGATGCGAAACAGACTTCTTTTGACTGAGTAGTCTGAGGGGTGATAGAAGATTAAATCTCTCTAGAAACGATGTATGTATGTCACCCATTCACTGTCACTGTCCGACCCTAGCAGAGCATAGGTTTAGCTTGCTAGGCAGCAATTTCCTGCACAATTTAACAGATTTATCCAAGATGAAAATTCTATAAGATAAACCAAATGTATCCGAAGTTATGTAAACCCAAGTGTCATCAGTGATGTGCAGGTGGACAACCTGCACACTTAACATAAATTATACCATTTTATAATGATCGGTTCATAAATGTCAAACAATATTAATTTAGAGTTTGGCCCATGAACTAGCTCCGAGAGAAAGTCTTTCCAAAAAGCAGTCTCATACTCATACATATGAGAATTGGCGCATAATTGTTTACCTTTTATTAGGTGTAGAGTGTGATATAGTTGGGTATAAGCGTAGAGATACACTACTTGTCATTTTTATTGTCAACAAATGTGCATTAGATCCCTATAGAAAGTTGTATTGCACGTGTAAACGCACAAAAAATATGGA